CTTAACCGAATCGGCCGAAAAATCATTCGGCTAATTTTTATCAGGTGTTTCAGGAATTATGATAATAGCTGTAATAACCGGATGGATTTAAAAAAAAAAATTTATAAAATTTATATATGAAATTTAAAAAAAAAAGCCGGGCGGCCGGGTCTATTTAAAAGTTTCATGTTATGAAAACCAAGTAATTAAATTTGTATGGCCTTAGTTTAGAAAATTGCTAATTTTAACCAATCATAGGGATGCTATATCTCAAAAATGTACTAAGTAATCAAGGTCAGGTAGGTATTCTAAGTAAAAATGGTCAACACCCCGAAAACCTAACCTTAACTAAAATTTAGGTTATTATACCTAACCTCTTTCTTTGTCTCAATTACACCCTAACGCTAACCTTAAAAACATAAAGACGGTGATTTTACCTCATTAGTTTATTTATTATTTAATATATATATATAGTAAATTTATAAATTTTGATTAAAAATTTTATACGTATAAATTCCCGTGGCGGGTTGCAGCTACGTAGTACGTATTATACGTATATATAATAAAATCTTCACTATAATATGATATATATTTTGTTATAAAATCTTCACTATAGCTTATGTCGAGAGTTTACTATTTAACTTCATTATATAGAGCAAAAATTTCTGTTCTAAAAAAAATTCTTCAATCTTAATGAGTATATATGATATATATATATATATATATATATTATACGTATACGTATAGCAAAACTAGTTAGTAAATATATACATGTTAAATAATATCATTTTTTAAAAAGATATCAGCACCCTGGTGATGATAACCACTGGTTATACGTAATTAGATTTATCCTTATCTGTTACAAAAAATATACTGTATGTATAAAATTTATTAAAAAATAACTGCATGCGTTTTTAAACGCATATTTTTATTTTATATCAATATATGTTGTACATTTTGTGTTAGTTTTATTAGGGTAAAGCGAAAGCCCATGTTAGAATAAGGGAAGGCATTAATGTTAGTGGCATTATAATTTTAATCTGACGCAATAACAAAAAAAATAATCGTATGATAAAAAAAATTGTACAGTAATTCTGATGTCATATAAAACTGGGTCGGATATAACAGAAATCTCGTGATTTTCATTATATAAAAGCAAAGAAAAAACTTCATGTCCCATAAATTTCTTTTCCTTAAGCAATGTAAAGAAAAAAAAAAATTTTTATTACTGCTGATTTATTAAATTAATATTTTTAGTAACAAATCCATGAGCGATTCAACTCAATACACGATTTTGCTCGCCGCTGAAGAATCAGAAGTATCATGCAAAGCGCTTAGCTACGCGTTCGATCTATGTTCAAGATTAAATACACCTTATAGTTTAGAAATCGTCTACGTCATTGCACTGAATCCAGAAACCAATGTCCCATTTTTGTGAGTTTGACGCGTTGCTAACTCTTAAAAATGCAAACATACTAATATAAGAATTTCGATAGGCATAATTTGGATAAAGCCAACAACCTTGATATCCTTTTGGACGCAAAGAAACCTATATCTAAGGTTATGGAACGTTTGAAGCAATGTGAAATCATTTATGTAAGCGAACTTTTGTTCGAGAGTAAGAGATCGTACCCGTCAATAAGCTTCTACCCGAGCATTAATAAATTACCCGGCTAACCGGGTGTTTATTATAGCTATATAATAACATTTTCTACCCGGGTACAATCTCTATTCGAGAGTAATTAATTCATTATCAATTACTGTATATTAATTTATATTAATATTGTTAATGGGAAATACTTAGCCGAATATTAAATATAATTTTAATGAACTCGAAGGTCATGGAGTAGTTGGGAAGATTTTAAAAGATTATGTTGAAAATCATAAGCCCGATTTAAATTTATTAGTTGTTGGATCAAGAGAACTCGATGGGCTACAAAAGGTTAATTATTTTCAGAATAGAAATAAGTTCTATTATTTTTTTTTAATTAGTACTCATTATAATTTTTTATTTATTATCAAGATTGTCTTGAGTTCTACTAGTGATTATCTGGTTAAAAATCTGCGATGTCCTGTTACAATTGTTAAGCCATAATGTATCTTTCACATTTATTAGCATTTTTATAAATATATTATAATAAGAGGCCACCAATGAATTAATGATATAAGAGTATTCTGTAATGGTTAAAAAATGTCAGGATCATTAACTAATTTACCAACGAGTTGATATTTTCCAGCAAAATGACCGTGCCAGTCATTAAGACTATCAATTTCATCTCTGGTTAAATCTTCGAGGGTATCTAATAGTTGATCAATGGGTGTAAGTACGTCCATATCGAATGAATTTTTTGCTAGACCACGGGAAGCATCACGACCCGCAAAGTTGCCATAGGGGCCATCTATAAAGTAAAGTTATAAATAAATTTAAATTTATTATTCATAAATAATAACAATGAAATAGTTCTCCGCAAAAAGTATTTTGCTCACCTGGTCCGTAGAAATTTCGACCTTTGGTAACATCATAAACATTACCACAAATTCCCATATAAATCTTTGTTTGTTGAGTTCTACCGTCAAACTCTCGTAGCTGTTTTGGTGTATATTCTCGAAATACTGTAGTCTCTGTATGTCTTGCAATTGGCAAATTATATGGTACTGGTCTTAGATAGGAGTAAATAACGTAAATTAAAAATCCTGATAAAAACCAGTTTAAAGGATTTTCTTGAAACTGAATTAACAGTGTTTCTTGTAGAGACATGTTTTAACGTTTAAACTTGATTAGTAAGCTTGGGAATTTTAAAGTCTAAGGAAATAACGAAAAGGCAACTGTGGTGGCTAAAAATTTCATCCGGTCTTGTAGGTTTGTCCGGTCTTCACTAACCTATTATAAAATTTCACATGACCGAATATCATCCTCATACTGTAGTAAATCGCATAATATATTTGGCTCCATTTATTTGTTTCACGCTTAATTAACCTTTTTTTATTTTTGGAAAGTGTAATTTCTTCCGTCGACTTGAATTCGGAATTTGCTGTGGCTTATCATACAATGGACTGATAAGATTTCAGCCTTACGGGAATGAAAATATTTAGAAAACTAATAAGCCGGTTTGTTTTAATCTTGTTTCCCATTACTATTGCATCGCCGCAAACACTTCTGCATTACTTTCGTTATTGTTATTTGAAATAATCGATTTTTTGCCGGCTGTGTCTTAATACTGGGATCGTTTCATCGGTCTAAACTTTTCTAAGTCTTTAAATCAAATCGATTTTCAAAAAAAATCACTTATTAAATTTATAAATCACTTTTATTTGTTAAAGTGACACAACAGCTCAATCATATAACATTTGTATCAAAAATGCAAAAAGAGCAACTAAGCAAATTATCTTGTCCATAAACGTTCTGAAGGATTTATTTTCCATTTTCTGTGTTGCCGCTCTCCGTAAACTTATTTAAACCAATCTCTTGAGTTCGTGGACTGTTATTCTTCTTCGCTGATTATATGACATTACTAACTGTACCTTAAAGGATTGGGACAATGAGGTCGCACGGACACGCATTCATTGTGCGTCCTTTTTTACTCCGGATTCTTGTCTTTTTATCTTTATTATTTATTTTTACGTACGCAAAATCAAAACTTGACTCTAAAGAACTCGTCCAATTTACTCCTCCTAACTTCTCAAGACTAGTGAAAGTTGTTAATGCTCTACCACCAAAACTTGACCTTAGTCCAATAAATTTAGTCCTTATTTCCACACTGGATGGCAACCTGCACGGTGTCGACCGGTATACTGGCCAAGTGTTATGGAGTTTAGAGGGTGCTGTTGAAGGTTCTTTGATTAAAACATTTACGCGTCCTTCGACTAAGCAGCAAAACGTAACTAACATTGTTGGCCAAGATGAATTTGAATATGATGGCCTATTTGATGATGATGATAATAATAATAGTCGAATTATCGACGATTCTCGACTCACAAAGTTAAATGGCGATCTCGAAGAAGAAGATGATCCCGATCTTGAAATCACCTACATCGTTGAACCCAATAATGATGGTATCTTATATATGTTCTCTCCAAAGACAGGTCTTCAGGTAACGTCAATTATTTTATCACAATGGTGATGTCATTCGTGGTTCATGTTGTTATTAGGGTATATGTGGATTTACTTTTTCCTTTATTTATTCTACCTATATTGTTGATAAATGGTCGGTCTAATGGAAATACTATTATTTTAATATTATTAGAGGTTTCCTCAGACAGTCAAACAATTGGTCATGAATTCTCCGTTTCGATCTGTTGATGGTAAAGTATTCATTGTCGGCAGCAAGTCTACAAAGTTTTTTGCCATCGATCCTGCTACTGGGAAGATTCTCCAATCGTTCAACAGCGATAATGAATTAGAAAATGAATGTCCGTCTACGGGTACACTTCCCCGAGACGCTTTGTATATGGGCATGAATGGTATATATATTATATATATATTTATATATATAAAAATAATACAAACATATTTAATTTAAATATAATAATTCAATTATTTTTATAACTTGTTTTTTTTAAAAAATTTATTTTAGCGTATAAAATTTCAATTTATAATGAACGTGGTAAACCAAAATGGAACCTCACCTATACTGAATATGTCCCTCATAGCTTTGACGCCAACATTGAGCTGATGTATAATACTTCTCCTGATGGTCATTACATTTCTTCTACTCATAATGGTGAAGTTCTTTCAACTGACTCTAAAAATGGTAAGCCTTCTATTTATTTTGTTTTAATGAAACAATTAGATAACTAAGTGTATAACTAATATTAATTATTTATTATATTTATTTATTTATTTATTATATTACTGATTATATTAATTATTACATTCATTTGTTATATTTTTTTTATTATATATACATTTATTATATTTATTTATTATTTTCGTTTTAACAATTTTGCATTATATGCAACAAAAAGGTGAACATAATTGGTATCAACAATTTTCTTCCCCAGCTGTCGGAATTTTTGACGTATTGGCATCAAAGGAATTGTCAAGTGGTCTTCATATTGTGAGACAACCAAGACCTTCTATTGCCCAATATAATCATCTACCGCAACAAAAACCTTCTCAATTATCTGCATATGTTGGAAACATTGATGGTACTTTGTTTGTCATGTCGGTTGAAAACTATCCGTTAACCCAGTCTATGCCATTTGGTATATCTGGCAACATGGATGATGAAAATAAGGTTCCCGAAAATAAAGAACGTTGTCATCCTGGTTCTTCAATTTATCCAAAGTGTTTAGTTGGAAACCACATGATGACCACTCATGAGCAAACAGTACAGGTCATTGATCCTCCATTAAAGGACAACACAACCCGAATTCCCATGATTTCCACCAAACCCCAGATTACAGCGCAGGTCGGTATATTTTGGGCCATGACTATAATCGCGGTCATCCTCGGAATCATTTATTGGAACAAAACACGGGGAAATGGGTTCAAATTTTTATTAGAATATAGAAAACGATTTGGCTCTTTATTTGAAAATAAATTTATGGGTTCCTTTAAACAAAGTCCCCAGCGTGATTCACTTGCTACGAAGCCTGGTGGAAAAAAGGATTCTCCGAAGAAGAATAAGAAACGTGGAAAATCGACCGTAGTAACAAAGTCAACAGTAGTAATAAAGAAGTTGGATGTAAAAGATGATGAAAAAATGAATAAATTACCTTTGGCTAAAGGTGCGCCTGCAAAAGAATTGTTGTCGATAGCTGATAATGTTAGTGTTCTTCCCGCAGGAAATTCAGGAAATTCTAACCTGGATAATTTCGTCGTACCTGCGACCACGAATCATGTTGCCTCCATCGTTTCGAACACTGTTAACGGTGAATTAAAGTTGAATTCATTGGTGGTTACGGATATAATTTTAGGTAATTAAAATTTATTTTTAAATTATTTTAAAATAAATTCGTCTATATTTCGCCTATTATTACTGCATGCTTATACATTATTACCTCTTTATTAAGGTTATGGAAGCCATGGGACTATTGTGTATAAAGGGTCCTTTGAAGGTCGTGATGTTGCTGTGAAAAGACTTTTACTAGATTTTTATGAAATTGCCTATCATGAAGTATCATTATTACAAGAGAGTGATGATCATCCGAATGTTATTCGTTATTTTTGTAAAGAGCAATGTGATCGATTTTTATATATTGCTCTTGAACTTTGTCCCGCTTCATTGTATGATTTAATCGAACGAGGCTCAACATTTAAGCATGCACATTTATTAGTGTCGTTACATCCTCCTTCCAAAATTCTTTACCAGATAGTCGCAGGTTTGCATCATTTACATTCAATGAAAATAGTACATCGTGATATTAAACCACAAAATATATTAATTGCCCCATCAAAGAATAAAAAAGTTATAAAAGATGGTGTTTCACAAGCATCTGTTAGAGTATTAATATCAGATTTTGGTTTATGTAAAAAGTTGGATGGTGAATCTAGTAGTTTTCATAATACAACAAACAATATAGGTGGAACCATTGGTTGGCGAGCACCAGAATTATTGTCACCACCATCACTAGACGGGATAAATAATGGTACAGAGGAAATTTGGACATCAGTAGATCGTCTAAATGATAATTCTTTCACATCATCGTCATCAGGCTCAGATCACGACAATGGCCAGCCACGAAGAATAACAAAGTCTATAGATATATTTTCAGCTGGTTGTTTATTTTATTATGTACTTTCTGGTGGTGACCATCCGTTCGGTGATCGATATTCGAGAGAGATAAATATTTTGAAAGGAGTTTATGAGTTGAACAAGTTAGATGGAATGGGTGAAGAAGGTTTTGAAGCTAGAGATTTAATTGAAAGGATGATTGAACGTGATCCTAAGAAAAGGTAATTAATATTATTAATAGATTGGTCTTAATATCAATGAAAACATATTATAATCATTTATTGTTTACTCATCTATACTACAGGCCGAAAACGGGAACAGTGATGATACATCCATATTTTTGGTCGCCATCAAAAAGGCTTTCATTTTTACAAGATGCTTCAGATAGATTTGAAATAGAAGAAAGAGATCCACCGTCACCACTCCTACAACGGTTAGAACAAGGAGTTGGAAAAGTTATAGGCTCAGATTGGCATAAAAGAATCGATAAAGTATTTATAGAGAATTTAGGAAAATATCGAAAGTATGATGGAACCAAGATTAGAGATTTATTGAGAGCTTTGAGAAATAAGGTATATAAGCATTATTTTATTTACTTTCTTTTTTTGGAAATGGAAAATATAAACATATTAATGACAAAAAATCTCCCTAAACAGAAACACCATTATCAAGATCTACCAGAACAAGTAAAAAGAGCATTAGGTCAAATACCTGATGGATTTTTACTTTATTTCACGTCTAGATTTCCCAACTTGATGTTACACGTATATTATGTTATTGCAGAATTCGAAAATTTGAGGAATGAAAGTATATTCAAGCATTATTTTGAAATACCTGGTGAAATGTGAAATATACTATTAAAAAACTCAACCGAGTTTAGAGAATTGATATATGCAAGTGAAAAAAAAAAAAAAAAAAAAAGTATTTAGAATGATGATATTTATTTAGTTGGATGAGAATGGATCTATGGGTCTTTGAAGTCTAACTTTATAATTTTGGTATTTTCTTGTGTAATATTTGTGATTAGATTTTAGTGGAACAATTATGCTATTTGTCATTAAATTGACAGATGGTTATATGATTAGTAGGATGGAATTTATTATATATATTTATTATTTATTATATACTAAAATTGGATGGGTTGAAATAATCGACAATGGGCACAAGCTATCTGTTTCATCAGCCCGTAGCCAGCTTGAGGCTGCAAAGATGAAGGTACTGGTTATCCGTGTAAACCATGATGACATTCATATCAACAAGAACAATAGTAGGCAGTAGTAGGAAACTATAATTTCGTGACTAGGTAGTTTATCAAAATTATAATAAGGGTATATGAAAAAAATATATTATTAGTAATAAGGTATTTATTTTATCATAAAAAAAAACAACATTGAAACAATGGAAGCAATAGCTCAATTATGTGAAAGGAAGGAGGAGGATAGGGACAGATGGCCCTATTTATATTTAGGATAGTGCATCTTTGTCTTTTGGAATTTGGTAATTAACTCCGATTATACTCGGTTGATGCTACACAATGCAGAGCGTGCATAAATAGAAAACTTCTTTTTTACATACAAAAAGCAAATAATAAGTAAAAACTCAATGGTTTTTTTTCTCTGTATCGATACAAAAAAAAATAAAAATAAAATAAAGATATAAAATTTGTCAAACTTTAAAGTTTATTATAAATTTATTGAATGAACATAATTTAAAAGATTTGAAATAATTGTTGTTAAGTCACTTTCCTGTTTGGTATATCATCTTATCCCGAATGATGACAGTAATGCACGCGCGTATGATGTTGACAGAAAAGGCAAAATCAATAAGACAACGAAACATTGAAGAGTATAACAAAGTACTCGTTTGTTGAAAGATAAATAAATTTAAATAAAGGCCATGACTCTTTATCTTTTATTGAATGCAATTTAGACATTACAGTTAAGATTTTTCACTATGTTGGAGATAGCGTCGCCTAGGAAAAATGATAGCCGGATAATTTTCCGGACACTAGGTGCCGCACAAAAAATGCGCGGCAGATCCTCGGTTTTGATTGGCTAATAGCGACGATCAAAAAATTAGGGGGTACCCTTATGTAAAGCAAATTCCGGGCTGAAGATCGCTGAAGATCACTTCCGATCATAAATTTCGTAGATCGGATCCAATAAAATTACAGGATCTTGTGTAACAAAACAAATGCAAAAAATATAAGAAAATGCAAAAATTGTAAATAATGCAAAATTTTACTATGCTAACTAACTTCCGACCTTTAAATAAAAGTTTTCGGCATGAAATTTTAGTTATAAAGAGCATTTTTATATACTAAATATATAGAAAATTTTTGATATACTATGACTCAAAATTTTTAGGCCGGAAATGATCTTAAGCCTGAAATTTGCTTGACATAAGGATACCCAAAATGAGGCCGGAATTACTCATAATTTTACTAATGAAATCGCAGCCGTGAGCTTATATTTTTTATTTTTGTAATAAAAAAATTAAAAAGTTAATTTTGGCTGGAAATTAGTAAACAATTATGTAATGCGAACCAAAATTTTGAAGATTCTTGGACATTAGCCAATCAAAATTGAGGATCTGCCACACATTTTTTGTGCGGCACCTAGAGTTAATGATAAACCATGATACTGCATATGTATATACTATATACAAGAGATAATAAAACTTTAGGGTATTCAATAAACTAATTAATTATAGCTGTTTTTATAAATTCTAGAACAACTAGTAAAATTTGGCTAAAATTAATTTGGCCGAATTCGATAAGCTTTTGATCATGGGTATAGTAAGCTTTTGATTCTCAGTATGATCATCGATATACAGTATAAAAGAAAATTTCTGTATTATAAGTACTACTTTTATTCTAACACGATAGTATAAAAAATGTCGATTCAACTATATTTATTAGACTTTTGCCTTAATGCTTGTCCAATTTGTATGATATACTTAGTCTGTATGAAAACTTATAGCAATGATTGTTCCTGTCAACCGACAGATTCACAATTGAAATGCAAAAGAAGTTCTAGCCATAAGTTAAACTTTCTTAATAAACATATTACACGATCTGGCACTAATAAAAAAAAGGTCAAATATAATCAAGACTTTGTTAATTGGCTCAGAAGTAATGCAACTCAAGTTGAGTTAAAAAATCAAGACTTTATTAATATTTGCCAGAGATGTATTGAAAAATATAAACAGCAGCTTTTAGGTTAATTTTTTATATTTTTGTATTGTTATTCTTATTTGCAGTATTGATATAGCTTATATTTAATAAAAATTTTATAGGACGAAAAAAAAACTAGTATGAGTATGAATATAAATCAAGTGAACTTATCGAAACAATAGATTTAACAAACAAGAAATCATTGGGTTGTTCATCTATAGTAGATTTATTAGAGCCACTTGAAACAAACAAAGAGCCATTGGGTTGTTCGTTTATAATAAATTCTTTAGAGCTGCTTGAAATAACAATTAATAAGGTTACAGAATTGAAAGCAATTAAAGAACTTATTATTAGTAAGTACTGTATATACAGTATTATAATATTATATTTTAATTAATATTAAAATCTAATATATAATTATAATGTATTTGAAAAGCCATACAAAAAACTAGATGGTGCATTAGCAATCCTATTGTTACAGAGTAGTAGCCTTCTTAATTTACTCTATAACGACGACACAGCACAGGGAATCCTTTCGTAGGTATAT